AAAAAAATTATATTATTATTAAATCTAAATTAAATAGTTAATTTGATACTAACATCGATTTATTTATTTTCAAATTTATATTTCATTAAAAAATAAAAACATTATCATTTTCTTAAAACCACATAAAATTGATTATATCAATAGAGACAAAGAATAAAAATTAAACATTAAAATCAAAATCAAAATTTATCCAACTGTATTACGTGAGTATCCTTCTAGTTATATTTTAGATATTTTATATTTAAAAAGATATGTTTATCTTATATTTGATAATATTTATCAATTAGTTATACGAATTCAAAGCATATAGCTTTTAAAAATTATATCCATGCACCAATTAGAAATATTGACTAATCTCGCTAACATTGAACTTGGGAAAATGAATTGATTGAATAACTACTTGTAATTTTGAATTTTAAGTAATATGCATCATCAAACAGTATTTAATCCATTAAAAATAGTTTTTAAGAGTTTTACCCAAATACTTTATAATATTGTATAGATTTTCTTTTCTTCTTTTTCAAATACGATAAAAAATTATTCTATCTTGTATTTTCTCATTTTTTTTAATAATTATATTGGAGAAAAACTCATTACAGTTTTATCTTTTTCATTTTGAAATTTTTGATGGATGTAAGGGACTATCGTATTACTTTGCATTGAACCAATTATCATCGAGATATGTTGAATTTGTTGTTACACATAATGCAACGCTTATAAATTGCTATAACACTTATCTATTACGCTATATATAATATATATCATGTTTGACTGAACATATACTTTTTAAACTGTAACGTGTATCAATTAATTATCAATTTTATTATAATATTGCTACTACATGACACTTGTTTATTGAATTAGCTAATATATGAATAAATATATTTTTGTAATGGATACATACATATATATATATGTATATATATATATATATGTATGTATGTTACATATAAAAAGTACAAATATAGTATTTATTATATATGTATGTGTTATAAAAACATAATAGCTAATAGAAATATATGTTATGTATAATATCAATATAATATTTATTTTTGTAATAAACATATATGTTATTTTATATACCTGTTCGCTCAATGAAACGAGATACATCTCGATTTTAATGTTTTGTTTTATCTTTTTGTCTATGTCGATATAATACGGTTTTATGTAGTTTTGAAAAAGTGATAATGTTTTTATTTTTGAATAAAATATAAAATTGAAGACATAGTAACTAAAAATTTGAAAAAAAATATGTTAATATTAGTATTAAGTTAACTATTTAAAAGTTTTTGTTTTTTGTGAAACTTTTTTAATACAATTTTTTATTATATTTTAATTTAAGTTCAATAATGAAGTAATCATTATTTAAAACTAGAAGCGTACTCGCGCAATGCAGCGAGATACATCATGATTTTAATATTTCATTTTATTCTTTATCTCAGTCGATGTTATAATATGGCTTTATGTGATTTTGAGAAA